TTTCCACTTGGTAATAGAATTTAAATTTTAATACATCAATCGTTAGTAGTCATTAGTAACAATATTTCCTTAAAATATATTTTTTTATTTTAATTTTAACAGTTTTTTTGTAACAAAGATTTTTCTTACTTTTAATTAAAAAATTAATTGTGACAAAACTTTTAAAAGTTTCATAGTGAAATTTTCAGGACTTTTTTTTAAATTTTTTTATACTTTTTTTGATCATTGAAATATACAATTCAAATTTTTGATAAAGTCTCTATCAAATAATCAAGTTTTTTTCATGGTTACATGTACCGGATATAAAGGTTTCATATCCTGAAAAAAAAATTTCACTGCCCGGCATTTCTTTAAACATTATTAATTTTTTACTGCAAGGCTCCGCGCCTCATGAGTCGAAGCCGCGCTCGGCTGAATTGGTTTGAATGATTTGTTTTTATTTGAATTCAAAATATGACATCCATTTTAATATTTTTATTAGTAAATATACAGTCAACAAATATTTTACAATTTTTTAATGAATAAAATAAATGAATTAATTAATTAATACAGAATATTTTTATTAGCTATCGCAAGACTTTTCTTTATACACAAAAACAAATATTTTTTTTTTGTTCTAAGCGTTTTTTAAATAATATTTATTAAATTTTATAAAATGAGTCTTGTAAATAAATGCTTTAATCCATTAATAATGTTATAATTTATATATTTTTTAAGGACCAAAAAGAAATTAAAATAAGGGGAAAAAATGATGAGTTATTTGACTCATTTGATTATGTGCATGATACAACATGTATCATGGATTATGTGTCCAGTGATGAATCAGTAAGTATACTTATCTGTAGATGTGTTTATATCATTGTAATTTCATATATGTGATACATAATATATATTATAATAAAATATTATACAGTATTATACTCATGTGTATGCATTAATTAGTATTATTGATGTTATAATTCATATTTTTTTAAGGTTAAAGAGGACATTGAAACCTCTGAGGTTGATTCGGAATAAACTTTACAACATAACACTTTGTGTTTTATTTCAGTATACTATTAATAACAATTGTACCTCAAGTTTAATTATACAAAGTTTATACAAAAGTGCTCTTTTAGTTCCACCCTTACTTCTTAAGAAGTCCCATAAGCCAACTGAATGGCTTGTGCCGGTTAGGGGTAGGAACGGACCGCGGGTTTAAAGTCCCCTTCGAAGGCCCCGAAAGCCATACCCCTGGTGGGATTCGAACCCACGACCTCCGGCTTGTAGTCAGCAGCACTAACCACTAGACCACCGTCGGCGTGGATGGCATAATTGTCTAAAAAAATATTCTTCAATTGGACATAAATCACATCTTTATTTAACATTTTTCATTTGACTTTATTTACAAATATTGTTATATTTTAAAAAATAACACGTTTTATTTTGTGTTCCAATTTAAAATTAAGTGCAAAAACAATTGAGTATACGCACGAAATTCACCGTAAATACGCGCGCGAAGATGCGTCCTCCCCTTGAATTCACCGTAAATGTACAAGTGAAGCTCGAAGTGAGTGCGCATGCATGCTAAAATTCGCGCGAAAAAATTTGTTCAGAAAACTTATTTTACTCTATAGGGGAAAATATGTTTTCTGAACATGCACCCTTATTTCATTTTTTCGCGCGAATTTAGAACACGCATGCATTTACGGTGAATTTAAGGGACGGACGCATCTTCACGTGTGCATTCACGGTGAATTCAGGTGTGCATTTAAGGGGCGGACGCATCTTCACGTGTGCATTCACGGTGAATTCAATGGGCGGATATATCTTCACGTGTGCATTCACGGTGAATTCCAGGGGCGGACGCATCTTTTAGCAACCGTGAATTCACGCGTGAAGCAATATTTTTCACCGTGCATTCACGGTGAACTCACGAATGTTATCTGGGCAGATACAGAATACCTATAGGTATACAGATACATAATACTTACTTGGATAGTTTATAAACTAGCTGGATAGTTTATAAACTAGTCAAACTGTCAGCTATTTTAATTGAAAACATATTTTCAACTAAATTAGCGGCTAGTTTACAAAATAACCAAGGATCTTGGCTAATTTACTTGAAATTATTAAGGAAACTAAAATAGCTGGATAGTTTGTATACTATCCAATTCATTTTGGCTAATATGAAAACCAAAATTTCTAGTAACACAAAATAGCCAAGCTTTATCTAGTTTGTAAACTAACCAACCAATTCTCTGGCTAATTTATTAAAAAAGTGAGGTTACGGCATTGTTTTTCGTTTTGCCGGCTTAACCGAATTGTTTTGTGCATTTTAACGTTTTTAAAATGAATTATAGGCCAAATTTTAACGCTTCCTTGTTAGAAAACTCAACAACACAACCCTACCGACCCCGCCCCATTGGTCAAATGGTCAAAAATGAGAGAAAAAAACCCAAACCAACCCAAACTCAACAACACAACACAACCAACCCCGCCCCATTGAGCAAAAAACCCAACTAAAATGGGCAATAGCCAGAGAATTAGTTGGTTAGTTTACAAACTAGCTAAAGCTTGGCTATTTTGTGTTACTAGAAATTTTGGTTTTCATATTAGCCAAATTGAATTGAATCTCTAATAATTTCAAGTAAATTAGCCAAGATCCTTGGTTATTTTGTAAACTATAGTTAGCGGCTATAGCCGCTAATTTAGTTGAAAATACATTTTCGATTAAAATAGCTGACAGTTTGGCTAGTTTATAAACTATCCAGCTAGTTTATAAACTATCCAAGTATGCACATTTAATTTAGCCGTAACATGTATACAGTTTTGCCAAATACAATTATGTTTTTCTTCTTCTTTTTAATTCTAATTTAAAAGCTATTTGGTCAGAACATTTTTTATTTTTTTTTTGGGTATTATATATGATTAAGGGTCTAAATTAAGAAAATCCGAGATTAACTAATCCTTTATAGTATATTATGTATCAAGTTTGATAAATGCCATTTTATACACGAATTTAATTAAGGCTCGAGCGAGCTTGCGAGCGAGTGCTTAAATTAATTAGTGTATAGAAAAGTTTATAAACGAGGTGCTATACTTTTTCTACGACAAATACTTATTATTATCTTAAAATGATTTAAATCAAAAATTTGTATAGAGCGCCATCTATGAAACAATAGGGGAATCTGTGTGTCACCGTCAAATGTCACATTTTTACATTTTATAAACACAGATTATAAAGGTCATAAATCGAAATGTATTTCTTGAAAATTGGCAGTTTTTTACAGTGAAAGTAAATAAAATGTTTTATGAGGACTTTACAGCGGAGTCCGTGCCCGAATTTAAGTTATAGTTTACTGCCGGCGAAATTAAAGGGTTAGTACAATGTTCATATAAACTTTTCAAATATTGGCGTTGAAAAACTATTTAATAATTTTGTATTTTTGTATTGAGAATCTCAATTTGAGATAATAAAATAATTTTCACATTTGGTATTATTTTACAAGAAAGGCACTTTATTTTAACGATTGTATGACATTTGACAACTGTCAACTAACTTAAAACTAACTTCAGCCCGTGACTAAAAACCTGTTGCAAACTTCAGCCCTTGACTAAAGCGCCATAAAGCCACAACTTGTCAATGTGTATTTAAAAGGTCACTTAGTGTCATGGAAACATGTACGATAAAGGGCGTTTTAAAGGTGGGAGTAGAAAAAATTATTTATTTACTATTTTATTAATTTATATTAGTTTGTATACCACCATGTTTCATTTTATTTCACCATGCACCACATGGCACAGAATTTCTTCAAAAAATTTCAATCTTAAATCATCCGTTCCATCTTTTTAATATTTTCATATATTTATATATTTTCAATAAATACCAGTGTAGTTTCTACCCTGGGAATCCGATGTCCCTCCTGGGTCGCAAAGTCACTTATATTTCACTTAATTACTATTTTATAGAACAAAGTGCAGTCCACCAGTGACAAAACCGAACTAAAATACCAGAGGCGCATAAAGTCGCCAAAATAAAGCAATAGTCTTCTGCGGATTATGATATTCTTCTCTACATACATTTTTATGTAGGTAAATCAGTCTATTAGGGCAGCAGATCGCCCAAATGGTAAGTTGTGTGATTTTTGCAAATATATGGTCGCCAGAGCGAGATAGAAATCGCCCAATTTGGAATGGGCCAAAATTTTGTCAGAAATTTTATAAAAAATAACCAAACAAATTAAGTCTACGAACAGTTGAGTTTTCGGGTGTGAATGTTTAGGGTTCAAACAAACGAAAATATTTTGCATCGATTGAGCGTTTAAAAACTTCCGTTGTCATTTATAAAGTTAAACACTATATCAACGCAAAATCAACGTTATTTTACCAATCAACGAGTTCGCTAGGGTTGGCCTTGGACTTCCTAAAGACTGACTTGTGCTAGGAATGTAGGTTTGTCATCCAGCAAGAAACTGTTAATAACGTTATTAACAGTTTCTTGCTAGATGACAAACCTACATTCCTAGCATTGATTAAATCAAAAATAAAAGAGATTAATTTAACAAAAAAAAATTAACAATATTCACAAAAAACAGTCAATAAAAAGTCTATTTTGCGCTTTACAATGAAAACTACATGCACATTGGAATATTAAATTAAACCACCAGTTAATTAATTTAATAGCTCCAATCAAAAACCAAAACCACAGAAGGTTCTTCTGTGCCAAAACATTTTGTTGGTTTATTTTTTCGCGCATGATTAGTAGAGGATGTTGTAATGTGGCGCCATCTGTCCTCGGTCAGACGAAGCTATTCTTTTTATCAACATATTTTCCCAAAAACCCAAAATACGTTAAATAAAGCTAAAAAGTATGAATTCAAAATTCGTTACTTCATTAATTTAATTAATATATTATAGTTATTGCTCTAATACAAATTTTGTGCCAAACTTTTAAGCGGAAATGAATGACAAACGCCATTTCCTGACTCAATCCCATAGTAACTGTCATTTTTAAGTCACGCCATTGTTTTTTAAGCTCGTAGAGCCAAATTGTTGTAAAAATAAGTTTTGACTGGCGAAAATTAACGTAAACTAACTTCCTCGCGTACCTACAGGTATCATATTTATTTGATTGAAAATAATTTACCAGTTAGTTGATTAAAGTGTGTGCTACGTTTGGTTGAAAATGGATCTTAAAATCAGCATTTATAACATTCAGGAGAAGTTGTTGAACAACTTTGAGATGACCAGGACCTATGTAAGTGTGTTTTTTGCTTAAATTACCAAAATTCGTGAATATTTGAATAGATACAAAAACGCTATCGTCGAAACTAAATTAGTTAGTAATAAAGATAAACTTCTCTTAGGATTATCAATATTTTTAAAATTTGGAAAAAAACAACTTATTTATACTATATATTATATGATTACTTACTTTGGAATTCCAAACCAGTATAGTTGACAAATTTATTATTTTATTTTAAAGATCAACGATCAAATGCCTAAAATGGGCGTGGAGGACACTAATTCGTACGTAATATAATATAATTTTAAAATAAATTATTAAAATATGTACTATTTACAGCCCATCCCACAAACACCTCCAATTTCTTCTTAAAAACCTATCAGTTTTGGTGGAAAACATCAAAATGAGCGAATTTCGCGATAGGTATCGCTTAAATCCAACAAACGTAAATCTGTTGTTCTTATTGGGTCAAAAAGTGGAGACCATCAAAGAGAGGGTGCAAATTTTCAAGGCCAAATACAAGGAAATGCACACGGCCATGGTTCACTTGAAAGATTGCTCCTTTTTGTTTTCTATAGTGCTTTTATATCAAATTTGGCACAAATGCTGGATGTTTTTCTGTATGCGTTACGATATTATAATGAGATGTATCTATAAAGTGTCTGAGAGCCCAGCCAAATATAAAGCAAAGGAGCTGTTTACCATTTGCATATCTGATGAAGATGTCGAGCTGTTGGTGGCTAGAGAGGGTTTGGATGTTTTGGTGCAACAAAACGTTGATGTGGATAACTTATCCTACGAGTTGATAACCGGGCAAAACAATTTATCCCATCAAAACAAGGAGAAAACTAGAAACGCCGTAGCCGATTATTTGGCCACCTCAACTTTACTGGACAATTTGGTTAACTCCGATACGAAGCCGAGATCTCGCATGCCTTACACCAAAAATTTTACCCAACCATCCCCGACTCCACCAAGCAACAATTTTAATGACAAAAATAACCCGTCAACAATGACGATGAGCGAGTATTGCACCATCAAGAAACGCCTCCTCTACGTGGTTCATCAGGAGTATTACAGCGGTGCGGCAAGTCAGTCTTTACCGGCCGCTAGCGTTAATAGCGAGCTGGTGCCCAGGATGAAGGTGCAGCAGTCCATGATCAAAATTGAGGAGACTGTTACCAAGAATAATGTGGATGCAGGAGGTGTCGATAAAAAAGTGATGCAACCTGTGGCGGCTAGTTTTTCTTTCGATTTGGGATTGCAGTCGTCGTTTTCTGGATACGAGCAGGCTGCAGATAGGTAAATATGAGTCATTCCACCAAATTTTTTTTAATAGTGACCGAAGCGGATTTTTATCCTCTACATCACTGAAGATTTGAACTAATATTTAGTACTTTTGTAGTAATGATTTTTCAAATTTTGACCAATTTTTTTCGAAGCTTTATAAACCATTTTGACAAGATTTAGCTTTTTAATAAAACATCTACCTATTCTTTATTATAAGTACATACCTAAAAAAGACCCCCAAAAACTCAGTTAAAGGGAAAAGGTGATTTTTTAAAATTTGATTTTCTTTCTGAAAACAATTTTTGTTCCTATAAAATTGTTTTTTATATTTTTATATAATACGTTTAACATTTCCTTTGTAATTTGAAACTGGAAATATTATAAAATTGTTTTTCGTTGCAAAGACATTGTTTGTTGGGATCGTTTATTATTAGATAAACTTTAATATTTAAACAATCATATTAAATGTCAATATTCCCAGTATTGCAATATGTATTATTTTACTAATTCAAGTCCTCTGAAATTAAATCCACAAAGTATTTGTTGAATTTGTTTTTAAAATTGTAATTGTTATTAAAATAAACTTGACTATTAATTATTATTATTATTAAAATTTAAACGGTGAGATTATAAGAACAGTACAAGTCCAAAATGTTTATTTTGACAAATCATTTTCTAAAATCAATTTAAAAGTTTAAAATGCTTTTTTGTGAGGAGATATAAATTATTTTACAAAATATGATTATTATAATTTATAATATACCGTAAACACGGGTGGCTTTAGCTCACTTTCAAACTTAATCTTAAAATTGTTGTGGTTTTAACAATCATAAACATTAAATATTGTATACCAAAATTTTAGTCTTGAGTTCCTCTTTCATAATAACTATGTTATAATCTCACATAGGGCTGAGTTTCAAAAATTAAAATTAAAAACTGGGTGTGCAAAGTTACCCCCTGCTTGCGGGTAACTTTGTCTCTCAGTGTACTTTCCGTATAAAATTAACTAAATTTTTTATTTTATTTTTATTAGACATATGTTAGCAGCGACATATAGCAATTGCAAGGGATTACCGATAAAAACAATAAAAAATCGACCTGTAGTTAACCAAGGATCATCAGTTCAAAAGATTGCGCATAATATAGAAATTGTAACGCGTGTATTTTTAAGAGTTTTGCACTGATGCAATATATACAATTTTAAAGTGTAATAAATCCCATTTATTTCTTTAAAACACTGATTTCCTGTAATATAAACTCAATAGAATCGCTCAATTGACAGGTTTAGACCAACAAATTATTAATGTTCATTTTAACGAGCGCGAAAAGATTTTTCATAAAAGGGTTAAAGTCACCCGCGGGGTGCAAAGTCACCCGTGTTTACGGTAGTTGAAATATTCTTACAAAAATGCATTTTAAACTATAAAACTGATTTTATGAAATAATTTTTCAAAATTTTAACTTTTGGACTTGTACTGTTCTTAATCTCACCGATTCAATTAATTAATTATTAATTACACCATGATAGTTTTAGAAACTTTTTCTTCTAACATTGTGTATCCAAGCTGGACTAAATGTAAACACAATCCTCCAAATCGACCAATAAGAACTCACAATCCGAATCACACCATCAGAATCGACCAATAAGAACAAGTTATCATGGGTCTGGGCGTTTTTGTTTAGTCCAGCTTGGATTTGAATACACTTTAGTTTTGAGACGCAAATTTAAAAAATTTCACTCGTTTTGCTCTAGGACGTCTAGGATTAAAAATAATTGCGTAATAAAATGCTCTGCTCAATCACCTCAAAATGTAAGTTTTTTGTAAATATTTTAAGTATTTATTAAATTAATTTTCCTTAAATTTATCTTGAATGTACTGGAGTAATCGGTATACGTCAAATAATATATGACATTATTCATTATTCATTAAACTAAAATTATAATGTTTAATAAAAAAAAATTATAATTTTAAATACAAAAAGACAACCATTATTTGACGTTTATTTTAATTGAGGAGCATCCGTGCAAAACCGGCTATATCCATTTTAATAAAATATTGGGAAAATGGCAAAAACAGCAGCCCAAAATTAGGTAATATAGGTGGACGCACTCAATGTTAGTAATTCGAACTATCATAATTATTAATAACTTTTGTAAGAAATATTGAAGTAAACCTACATGGTGTCCCAAAAATGGCGTGCTTAAACTTTACGAGTCGACTTGGCAACGCTGTGTGCCTGGTTAGCTAAAATAATACACACTCAAAAAGGTTTTTATGAAAATAATCTAAGGATGTATTTTGTGACAGTCTGTCAAAATCAAAACTTTAAATCATCATATTAAGTTTAACTTTAATAAAAAAAAATGTTTTCTATCCTTTTATACGAATAACTCAAAAACTACTTGAGAAATTTTTTTTCCAACTATATCGTGTAGTATGGAGTTGGTGCGCTATTTTAGGGACACCCTGTAGAACAAACGTTATAAATAGAACATAGTCAAGCACTTTAAATAAGTAAAATTATTTTTGTTTTTAATGTTATCAAAAAAGTGTTTCTAGGTTGAGGGAATTGCCGGTTTTTGGGCCCCTTTTGGACGTGAACAATTTGGGCCAATTTCAAACTCCAGCCCCCGACGAAGTGGACATTAACAACTTAAATTACGCACAATTTCTTGGAGAGTAAGCACCGCAAGAATTTTATTTTTTTAATTTTTTAACGTTTTTGTTGATATTGTAGGTTTTACAAATCAAAATAAGTTTTAAAAAGAAGCATTAGCATTAAGAAAAAATATGTTTTAACGTTCAGCCTGTTACACTTTAGTATTTTTCACGTTTGTTATTTCTTTTGTTAAACAGTTATCTTCCTTTTCCAAAGCATTAAACTGTAAAAATAAATGTTTTATTAAAATAAATTTAAACCCAACAAGTGAATTTATTTACCCTAAAATACGCGTCTGCTGTCATGTCGTTAAAATCTCAAAGCGCTTGAATCCACGTAATAACTTTTAGTTTTATAGGGAAATTAGAAATTCCCTTCGTATCCATTTAATTTTAATCATAAAACAATTAGGGCTAATCCGATTTCAGTTTATTGTATTTTCTAAAGCTCAGGAGATTTACCAACAATTATTATTCCAATTACTTTATGTGTATAAATGCAATATCATGAGATAATAATAATAATATTGTTTGCAAGAATACATAGATTTAAAAATTACATAATATAAGAAGTATAGAAAATTACAACAATAAATATGCGTAGATACCTACACAGAAATGCCCCAATTTGCATTTGTAAGTGCAATAAAACTATATACGAAAACTTATATACATATAATAAAAATGTACTAATGTGCACTAGAAATAGGTATATTTTTTTATTTAATTTAATTTAAATGCCTTTTACAGGATGAGACTAGTAACAACAATATGCTTACAGAAATTTGGGTTTTGGCTCTTGTTAAATTAAAATTACACTATGCTGGTTGTATTTGGAGTCCGGGCTACCAAACTTATATAAAAAGAAATTTCCTTAAGTTTGTTTCTTTTAAAATACATATTATGATCAATAAACCCAATGCTGGAGTCGAATAGAATACCTAAAGTGTATTCAAATCCAAGCTGGACTAAACAAAAACGCCCAGACGCATGATAACTCGTTCTTATTGGTCGATTCGGAGGATTGTGTTTACATTTAGTCCAGCTTGGATTTGAATAGACTTTAGATCTCTAAAATTTGTGTCACTGACTAAATATGTATTGTCAATTATTTAATTATAATAGATTAAGGTATTTTTTTTAGTGTAAGAGATCACTTTGCATTTTTGTGCAATAAGTAGTTGGTAGCTTACAGAATTACAAGGCTATTTTGGATTAAGGTACTCAATTTTATTATAAATTTTTAGATCGTCAGCGTACATTAAGTATATCGTTGACAAAAAGGTTAAAAAGCCGAAATACTCAAGCTTTCGAAAAATCTGTAAGATGACGTCTACCTGTCCTTGTGAATCTAGGACGTCTGACATAAATATATACAATAAAAACATAAAACCTAAAAATATAATTATAATATTATTCAATATAAATATGGTATAAAAGCAAAAATATATCAGTAGTAATGTACATGATCTATTTGTCCTAGTAAACAGGTAAGTATTTAAAATTAAAATATATTTTTTTAAATATGTGACAGTCACTCTATAAACATATATTTTTGGATTTTTTTTTTGAAATATTTTTTAATTTGGCTTGTTTAATATTTTCCTGTAAAAGAGTGTAAATTTTTGGGCCCAAGTTTTTACTACATCTTTGGCCAATGTTTTTTTTTATTATTGGGACTTGCAACTGAGTTTGTTGTCTTGCACTTGAAATTTTAAATTCTTTTCTTGTAGAGTTTATAAGAATAAGAAGAGTAGTATAATTGTCTGGAGTCTAGTTTTTTTGATAATTTATATAAATCTTCTGAGGAGTAGGTTCTTTCTTTATTATAAATGATCTTTAAAATATATTTTTGCGTTACTTCCAGATCTTTAAGAAATTCTTTATAAACTTCACCCCAACCCAAACAACAATAAATTATCATGGAAAAATTATGTATGCTTCGACTTAAAATTTTACGTAAAATTCACTAAATCCTTTTAAAAAATGTACATAATTTAAAAAAAAAATAGTTTTATATTTTTTACCATCAAAATTTTACTTTTTAAATCCAGGCAGTTTGAAGTATTTTCTCGATTACCACAAAAAACTATTTTCCTGTAATAATGGGTATACTAAATATTTTTAGCGCTTTCATTGAAGAAAAACTAATAAATCAAATCCTCCTATAAACAATTGAAAGATCTGTTTACAATTTAAATACGTCATCTCTATTGATATGAGAAAATTCGTGAGAACTCTCAGCCTAAGCTAAATCTTGTCAGTTTCAAACAGATTTTAATCGTGTCGGTTGTAATGTTTACCAAACTATTTTAAGATGTTTTTGTTCTTTCTTCTTTTCAACGCGTATGCGGACGCGTCGCAATTGTTACCGAAATGTTGCCAAGTCGATGAAGAGGTCCATTTGAATGTCACTTTTCAGTGCAGACGTGATGTTGGTAGAAGATGGCAAATATTTACCAATGAAACACAGTTTTTCAGTAGGAACGTTAGTGGTGTTTGTAACGATGCTTTTAACGATAAGTTTACTTATTTTGGAGTGAAAGATGGGAGTAAAATTGAGATACTTAACAGTACCATTAATACGGACTTTTTGTCTAAATGTTGCCCCTGGAATTACGCATACAACTCTGTAAAACACAGCTGCGAAGAGTCCAAACAAGACGGAATATTTACAGGTGTTTTTCGTGTGGGTTTACCTCACTGCAGTGTAATAGAGGATATAACTCACGGTCACGATAACCCCCCTTTTCAAGAGATTAATAATTTTAACATTATTTTGAACAACACCAACAAGGAAATCAGTAAAAATAATTACTGCAGGGACAAAGTTAGCGAGAGTTTAAATGTATTAAGGATATGTTTAGATGACTTGGATGTTTGTGATAAAAAACGATGCATCAGAAAATGCTGCCCTGATGGACAAAGTTTTGTGAATGGAAAATTTTGTAAAAATACTTATGTTAGAGGGATCGATTTGGAGTTTATTGGAAATATAGAAAATCCAAATGGTAAGAGTATGAGTTTACGGTGGGTTTTGACAAAAAATTACTTTTTAGGTTCCCATGTATTAGTTCATGGTTATCAAGGCAGGCCCACTATTTTACCAAGAAATGATAAAAACCACAAACTCTTCAAAAATGGCACATTTTTGGAAAATTATAATAACCAAACGCAATTGTTTTTAATACATGATGGCGCATACTGCATTGAACATGCAGTGAAAAAAACTAAGAAACTGAACATAGATAATTATGCATTATTTCTAATATTACCATTAGAAATAAAAGCTAAACCCATACCATTAAAGATCATAATTAACCGATACTTACTATGCATATCTTGTTCATTCTTGTTTTTAACCATAGCTTTCTACACTGTATCAAAAGAGATTGAAAAATTATTTGGAAAAACCTTAATATCGCTATGTGTAGCCCTACTGGTAACTTTTATTTTGCTGATATACCTAGGATTTCATCAGGCACCACCAAAAAAAATATGCTTAATTTTGGGCTTTATTTTAATCTATTTTGGATATTGCTGCTTTACATGGTTAAATGTTATGTGTTTTGATATATTCTGGACGTTCGGGTATGTAAAATTTACTGAGGGAAATATGTTACACTACAATTTATAGGAATTCAATCTATTAATAGCTCAGTGTTTTCAGACACAATAAATGAATCATAAATTTTATAAATATTGTCGTTGTAATGATATATGCATTAGGGTGGAGTGAATTTTTTTAAATTTATTAATTGATTTTTCCTATATTATTAATTGTTGACTAAAGGCGTAAAATGAATAAATATCGAAAAAATATTCCAATTTTTTAATATCTTGAGGTGGCGCATCTGTCTCGAAGTTTTGAAAATTCTAAAAAAATATTACTTTAATCAAAGTAATAAAAATAGCATTATTTATAAATAAAAAGTTTATTTTAGTAAAATTAACGTGAAACGTAAACATATTTAATAGTAAATCATATGCTTTAAGTAACTTCAGGAGTGTTTATTGGTAGAAATGAGATCATCTTTTTCGCGAAAATACTGACATTTGGTATCAAAATTTGGTAATTATTTTCTGACTTTAATTCTTGTTCTGATGAAACCATTTCTTGCTTCCGATCCACAAACCGAGACTGAAGATTCAGTATACTGGTTATAACCAGTTTTACACAGCGTTCCACTGCTTGGGTGTGACTGAAATTTTTGTATAGTAGGAAATGGTCACCCGAAGACATCATATCGGTAATTTCTGTCATCGTATTTCATATTCATAGGTGATTCAGTCACCTTTTCTATCGCCCAGTGAATTAACTGGTACAAACGTAATGCTTCAGTATTTAGTTGTGGAAGCTTTAATTCCCGTAATCTCGAACATTTTGATTCTTTTCTCGCCTTTAATATTTTCGGCAATGCTAGTTCTCTGATCGATAGATATATTGTAGGTAACATAGCAAGTAATAGGTTTTCGGGATGAATATTTCGCTGAATATTCTTTATAACTATAGATATAAGGCCTTCAAGTTTTTCTGGAGGTGTAATGCTCTTTTAGTCATATTAAATATGTGAATAGGACCATGTTTGCACGTAGGCTTGGTGTTGATGTAAAACCACGTTGGGGCATACACTTTCATGATAAAAGTAGCCAATTCTTTTAGGTTTTCCGATGGATTTGCTGTCCCCACATATAAACAAATAATCCTATTAGCCCACGTCAGCCATAGGGAATGTGCTAGCTTGCCTGGATCTTTGTAAGCTATAGCTAATATTGTTCCCGAAAACCTATTACTAGCTATGTTACCTACAATATATCTATCGATCAGAGAACTAGCATTGCCGAAAATATTAAAGGCGAGAAAAGAATCAAAATGTTCGAGATTACGGGAATTAAAGCTTCCACAACTAAATACTGAAGCATTACATTTTTACGAGTTAATTCACTGGGCGACAGAAAAGGTAACTGAACCACCTATGACTATGAAATACGATGACAGAAATTACCGATATGATTTCTTCGGGTGACCATTTCCTATACTTCCAAAAATTTCCGTGTCACACTCAAGCAGTGGAACGCTGTGTAAAACTGGTTATAACCAATATACTGAATCTTCAGACTCGGTTTGTGGATCGGAAGCAAGAGATGGTTTCATCAGAACAAGAATTAAAGTCAGAAAATAATTACCAAATTTTTATACCAAATGTCAGTATTTTCGCGAAAAAGAAGATCTCATTTCTACCAATAAACACTCCTGAAGTTACTTAAAGCATATGATTTACTATTAAATATGTTTACGTTTCACGTTAATTTTACTAAAATAAATTTTTTATTTATAAGTAATGCTATTTTTATTACTTTGATTAAAGTAATATTTTTTTAGAATTTTCAAAACTTCGAGACTGATGCGCCACCTCAAGATATTAAAAAATTGGAATATTTTTTCGATATTTATTCATTTTACGCCTTTAGTCAACAATTAATAATATAGGAAAAATCAATTAATAAATTTAATAAAATTCACTCCACCCTAATATGCATGATTCGTGTAAATATTTAATTTAATTTTAGTTCGCCGAAACAATTTAAAGGATTTCAAAAACAGGCTCAGGATAAAAAGAGATTTTTCCTTTATTGCTTGTATGGCTGGGGCTTTTCTTTATTGTTATTTTTAATCACGCTTTTGTTTTATTTCGTTGACGTGTTACCGGAAACGGTTAAAATACACATCGGGGAAACAAAATGTTTAATAGAAAATCGTGAGAATAGATAAAGTAATTTATAAAACTTTTTGTATTTTGTTGTTTTTTAGCCTATGGAAATTTTGCTGATATTGTTTTTACAGTCATACCCATATTTTTAATGGAAATAGTGAATGTGGTTTTGTTTGTAAAAACTATAATGTATTGTTTGAAAGTCAAAAATGAGATAAACAAAATGAATGATAATAACGAAAGTAGTACAAGTAGGAAGAAAAAATTTAATGCAAATAAAGAGAGGTAAAAATTTTATATTTAAATTCGTTAAAAATTTATTGTATGTAATTTTTCTTCCTTATTTTATTAAACCATATTGATTTAAATTACTAAAAACTATGTTTTATTTTCAGATTTTTATTAATAATAAAATTGTTTATTATAATGGGAACATCGTTTTTGTTTGAAGTGGTCTCTTCATTTTATAATTTCGGGAAAAATGATGTCACCAAGTACATTGAAATTATATGGGATATATTAAATAGCCTTCAAGGTATGTTAAGTTTGCACACTTTAAAAATTGTATTGTTTCCATGATACTAAGCGATATTTTAAATACACATTGACAAGCTGTGACTTTATGGCGTTTTAGTCACGGGCTAAAGTTAGCTTTAAGCACAGACCACCAAAACAAGTGGACAGCGCATTGCCGTTCAATAACAATGCTTTGTTTGCGGTCAACAAACGGTCACAGTCTAAGCGTCAAATTGGAGATATAATTTTATGTTTTCTTCCAGTGACGTATTGGGATTAAAAAAATAATAAGTAGGTAGGTACTTACAAACGATATTTCCATGTATTGTTATTTTTAGTAAAAAATAATGTATTTAAACTCCGTAATTAACTTAAACACGATAGAAATACACAAACGAAAACACAAAACAACAAGCTGTCAACCTTTTTCTATGCTGTCAAATATGACGAATTTACCAACGTTTTTAAATTAACAACGTTGGTAAATTTGTCATATTTGACAGCATAGAAAAAGGTTGACAGCTTGTTGTTTTGTGTTTTCGTTTGTGTATTTATATTTAATTTTAATAATTATTAAATGATTTACTTTCTTTAAATAGAGAAAAATATCTAAAGAAAATGATGAACAAATCCTTTTTACAATTTTTTTTATTATTCAAACGAATTACTGGTAATTATTAATGTTCATTATGTTATGATGAACGTCCAAAAAGGCGTGTAATCTATATACAGAAGTATACTTCTGACAACGTTGGAAGCCGTGTTTCTTTCGACGTTGTTTAGAATGTGAAACTATGCTTTACTCGCTTTTTAAACGTAAACAAATCCATCCATTTGTTTTGGTGGTCTGTGGCTTTAAGTTAGTTCACAGTTGTCAAATGTCATACCTACAATTTTTAAAATAAAGTGCCCTTCTTGTATAAAAATACAAATTTTTATTGTGGAAGATTTTGAACCAAAACATGTTTTATAAAAATGATTTTTGGTCATTTTTCGTTCATTTGCCATTTCTTAAAAGTAATCGTGTTTTATGCATTTTTTATACTTATTGTTATTAGTAAAAATTAATGACATCCATGAAGAATTGTACCTATGGTACCATTTGTTGAAAATAAAATGACAAATAAAAGTCCAAAATTTTTAGAAAATTTAAAATTGCAAATTAACCATGGACTATAAAAATGATGCATCCTATATTCTGGAGGGCTTAAAAATCAAGAAAAAACTTTTATCAAAAATGAAATTTTCTGAAAAATGTAGGTAAAACATTGTAACCCTATCCGTGGACATACTGTATATCGGATTTAAAATTTAAAATTGGACACTCATTTTTATCAAGCACTCGCTTGCATGCTTCGCTCGTGATTAAATATTTGACGACCACCTAAATGAAAAGTGTAAAAAAAGAATTCACATCTCCGATCCGTGTTTTATAGTATAAATTTATACGAATCTATAAAAAATAATATTTGTAAATAAAATGTTGTAGGTGTGTTTATATTCATTATATTTGCATGTAAGAGAAAAATAATACAAAAATGCAAACTACGTTTCTACAAAGACGAACGAAGAACTTCTTTATCATCGGGCCAAACACAAACCACCTCGTGCGGAAATAACTTAAAAACCACATAAAGTATATGGAAAATAAAATAATTATATTCAATAATATCATGTTTTATTTTATAGTTTTAAGTGAATAATATGAATAAATTTGAGGTAGTTGTATGGAAAATATTTGACTATCATATTATGTCGATCATAAAATGCATATTGCACATATAAAATGCTCCTGTTTTATTAGAGGCCATAATAATATTATGCATTATATCATATAAACTTCTATTAATAAAAGTAAATAATTAATACTTCGTTCAATAAGTACATGGCCAATGGTATCACATGGTATCACAAACATTTATAGGGGTCAATGTAAAGCAATATATATATATATATATATATATATATATATATATATATATATATATATATATATATATATAGGTGTTCCTTATTTAGGTGTAGGAAAAAATTTAACAGAGGCGCCCCCCAAATAGGTTCCAAATAATAATTACCAAAAGTTGTAGATTTAATTTTTTTCAAAATTGGTAGGTTTAAGAAAAAAAATTGCACAATAAACATTATTATTATTATTATTATTATTATTATTATTAACAAAAAATTTAGGGCACATAGTCCCCAATTAATGTCATTGGGTCGATGCTCTAGGACAGAAAATTCAAAACGTAGGTGGCGCAAAAGTGCCCAAAAAATCATTTTATTGCTTTTTTAGCCCAAAAATTTTTTTGTAAGTAAGAATTGTTTGAATGATAACAAAACTAAGCGATTATTTCAATTTTATCAAAAAACAAAAATTTGGTTATTAGCTATGCTGTTAGCAAAAAAATTCTTCGGCTGACCCAGGAAAATATCCCAGCTCTGTTGCAATTTTTTTAAAAATTTTGTAAGATAGTGTAATCCCCTCCCCCCATGAAACGGCCCTGTAAGTACAAACATAACCTGACATAATTTTATTTTCTTTGTAAAAGTGCAAACTCGAACTTCGAATATGGTCATATTTCAATTATTTTTATTCATTCTTGGTAAATGTTTTATTTATTATTTATATTTTTATTATTATTATTATTTTCAATATTCAAGCCCATTAAACTATTTCTAGTCAACTGATTGGGCATTAAGAGAGTGATATTTGTCGGCGATTTAATTATGTTTAATTTGACAACATTTGCAATCAGATTTGTCGTTTCTAAATCTAGATATGACCCAAATTGTACCTGTTACCTTCAAAAAACAAATAAAAAAAATCAAAAATCATATCTCTAAAGAAAAATAGTGGCGGATCCAAGAAGAAGTGGGCCTCGGTTCAAATCCCACGTGAACCTGTACCTTTGCATTCAAGACAAACTTTTCCTTCTTAAAGTTACTTTACAGAAAAAATATTGGAAATACATATATTTTTAAAACTTACAAAACAAAAGAACTCACATAAGTATGTTTTTATAACGCCCTTCTTCGACTTTGAGTTGAATTACGCAATCGCTGCTCACTTGTAGATCTCATACGATGTTTTAACATTTTCAGTGTACTAAAAGAACGTTTTAAAAAAACACCGTTACTAAAAGAGTAAAAATAGCATTAAAATAAGATAAAAACATTTTCTTCCATACACGCATTATTTTTGATTATAAATTCAAAAGATCATCATCAGGTACCTTCTTTAAGGTCATGTTTCAATTAATTAAACAACATATTACTGATTTTAGTTTCAGTTTCTTTTACAATGATAATAGCAGAATATTTTCTGAATGTCTGGGGGCCCCTAAATGATCGGGGTACCACACCGAACTGCCCGGGCATATGTCCGCCCCTGCTTCAAGGTCATTATATCACCATAGTTCACCATCAAGAACTACTTTGCCGAATTTCGTTAAGATCAAAGGGTGAGTGTATGAGTCTCACAGTAAAATTGCCAAGACTGTAGGTATCTCAACTAAATCGGTTTTATGGTCTGCAAAAACTATATATTTATGAACTTTTTTGTCTTAGTTTGCGCCCTCATTCTCCAATGTAAACATCCCTTTCCAAGACAAGATTGTAAAGTACATAGGAACGTAATTACAACGTGAATTTTTGAAGACTCTCCTTGAATGGAATTGAAAAGGGAAAAGAAAAGATTTTAATGGGAAACTTTGTGGAAGCACGTACATAAAAATGATAGTCTGACACTTGCTGGAAATATAAAACCCCATTTTGATAATATACATCCCTTTTATAATAACTTAGCTTTCATCGTAGACTTTGTAAGAAACTGTACTATTTTAATCATGAGTAGACTACGGAACATTTTTTGATAATAATTCAGTTAAAATTAGAAAAAATTAAATGTTTTTTTCTATAATTACTTTCAACGTTCAGTCCTTCAAAATTTAAATTTAAAAACTTAAATTCTTACAAATAACAACGATAAGATCACAACTGAATCAGCAGAACTGTAACCTTATAATAATTACCAAGTATATGACACAGGTAGATTGGTAGCTATTATAGTCTGCCGAACTTCATAAAGGCATCATGTTGGTACATAAAACGTAACATCAACTCATTAAAGTCCCCTTCATTAGCTACATCGACTCGATTTACGAGTTTAATACAAACTTAACAAACTCGAGTTTGTTAAGTTTTGTGTGTGACATTATGTTCTACATCATATTGTCATCAGGATATCTTGATTAATTTCAAATCAATGGATAAGGTTTTCTTAAGACGTTTAATAGTTTATATTAGGGTGCTTCAAAAAATAAAATTTAATTTTTTTTTCGCTCTTACCCTCTAAAATGTTTCTATTTAATATAAAAAAAATCCTCACCAAATATGGGCTTCTCAGCTCAACTCTAAGAGGTCGCTGTTTTTATTTTAATTTCCCATTTAATTAACATGGGAAAAAATAATTTTATGTTTGGAATTTTATACCTCTATATCAAAGTAACTTATGGCAATGATCATTGCAGTTTCTTATATAAAATGTAACGCTCTACAAAAAAGGTCTCTTATTATTTTTCGATAAATGGATTTCTTCTAGAGTTATTCGAGGTCAAAGTTTGATTAACATCAAATTTTCTGGTTTTTTATATTTTATGGTACAATTAGCAGACGGGAGCTGAAAGGGGGCAAAACAATGCAGTGGGGGGGGGCAAAATGGGGTACCCAAAAAATTTTTTAGATTGTTTTTTTCGGTTTCTAAATTATTTGAAAATTGACTTACAAGTTCACGCTTTTAATCGAAAATAATTATTTTGAGCCTGTAGAGAGAGAAAAAGGATGGTACAATTTTGGAAAACTTTTCATATGCTCATTTTTTGGGTACCCCATTTTGCCTCCCCCCGCTGCCTTGTTTTGCCCCCTTTCACCTCCTGTCTGCTACCATAAAATTAAAAAAAAAACAGAAAATTTGATGTTATCAAACTTTGACCTCGAATAACTCTAGAAGAAAATCAATTTATCGAAAAATAATAAGAGACCTTTTTTGTAAAGCGTTACATTTTATATAAGAAACTGCAATGATCATTGCCATAAGTTCCTTTGATACAGAGGTATAAAATACCAAACAAAAAATTATTTTTTCCCATGTTAATTAAATGGAAAACTAAAATAAAAACAGCGAACTCTTAGAGTTGAGCTGAGAAGCCCATATTTGGTGAGGATTTTTTTATCATTAAAAATATCAAAGAAAATATTCGTGCTGAAGCGGCCGTGTTTTAAGATCAAATTTATTACCAAAAGACTAACGATCGCTATGAAAAAGAATAACCAAAAATGTTTTACTTTTCTCTGTGGCTGAGCTATCGAAAAGTTACGGGCCTAACACTTTATGGACAACAATTTTGATGATAAAACCGTGTCTAACTATAGAAAAATATGGACATTTCTAAGTAAGTATTTCGATTAACTTCTTGTTGATGAACTTATTTACAGATACCTATGGAAAGCTTTTCACATTCTTGAAGAGAAACTTGGAGCGCTACATCCCAAAATAGCTATGATATTGTCAGCAGAGCAGATAACGCATTTTTTTGTGGAATCTTCGTCAATTTTTACTAGAGAAAATCGTAGTAATTTTAAAGCTTGCCGTCGCGAGGAATTTGTGTTCTTGACAATTGATACCATTGAAGACTTCCTAAGCGAAATCTATCAGCCCGCGTGAAAATTCGGATCCAACAAACACAGGTAATGCTGTGCAGTTTCAGGATACGTAGGAGAACTAAAAGGGGGTAAAATAAGACGATGTCGATGGGGCCTGCCTCATACCTCAAGACGTTAAACGCTTTATAATTGTGAAACACTCTCTAAAAATGAATCAGTTAAAAGTGACTAATTGTCATACTATGCTAAGCGAAAAAGCAGCCACTAATAATTATCGTCAATAGCAATTTGTATCCCGAATATTTAGCAGTCAATCTCCATGTAAAATTGTCCCCTGAACCCGAAAATGTCAAAACTGGAAAAAGTGGAACAGTTTTTGAGATATAATCAAAGTTCCATATAATATAGAATTGACTATATCTCAAAAACTGCTTCACTTTCATAATTTTTTACGGTATTTTCGGATTCAGGGGACAATTTTACATAAGAATTGGCTGTTAAATATTGGTTAACCATGGTATAAGTAAAAAATTAGCCACTAATAACTGCAGAATTTAGTCATTTTGACTACGACACTACGACCCTTTAATTTTCGACGCTTTTTGTAGATTACAGAAATGGCGAATGCACCGAACAGCAAATAGAAGGAATTACACAAAAAATTGCAAACATTTTGAACTTCTGTTACACAGAGCATTGCTTTAGGAGATCATCAGCCACAGGGGCGTGCTGGGCCGCCGGGACACTGGGCGAATGCCCGGTGGCCTGCGCTACCATGGTGGTCTGCTGAACTTGTTATGGTATGCAAATAGAAAAAAAAATTTTATACCAAACAAAAAGTTTTTTCAAGTTATATTATTAAACACTTAATATAAATTAAAAAAAAGAAAGTTTTAATTAACTTAAACCCGTAAAAAAATCTAAACCATGTATTTTTTATGCTAACCCTTAACCAAGAAGTCGCAGGTGGAAACCGTGGGGATAT